CAGAGAGGCACACACTCACAGACACAGAGAGGCACACACTCACACACACAGAGGCACACACTCACAGACACAGAGAGCGGCACACACTCACAGACACAGAGAGAGGCACACACTCACAGACACAGAGAGGCACACACTCACACACACAGAGGCACACACTCACACACACAGAGAGGCACACACTCACACACACAGAGAGGCACACACTCACAGACACAGAGAGCGGCACACACTCACAGACACAGAGAGAGGCACACACTCACAGACACAGAGAGCGGCACACACTCACAGACACAGAGAGGCACACACTCACACACAGAGAGAGGCACACACTCACAGACACAGAGAGGCACACACTCACAGACACAGAGAGGCACACACTCACAGACACAGAGAGGCACACACTCACACACACAGAGAGGCACACACTCACAACACAGAGAGGCACACACTCACACACACAGAGAGGCACACACTCACAGACACAGAGAGGGCACACACTCACACACACAGAGGCACACACTCACACACACAGAGAGGCACACACTCACAGACACAGAGAGGCACACACTCACAGACACAGAGCGGCACACACTCACAGACACAGAGAGAGGCACACACTCACACACACAGAGAGGCACACACTCACAGACACAGAGAGGCACACACTCACAGACACAGAGAGGCACACACTCACAGACACAGAGAGGCACACACTCACAGACACAGAGAGGCACACACTCACAGACACAGAGAGGCACACACTCACAGACACAGAGAGGCACACACTCACAGACACAGAGAGGCACACACTCACAGACACAGAGAGGCACACACTCACAGACACAGAGAGACACACACTCACAGACACAGAGAGACACACACTCACAGACACAGAGAGCGGCACTCACTCACAGACACAGAGAGCGGCACACACTCACAGACAGAGAGGCACACACTCACAGACACAGAGAGAGGCACACACTCACAGACACAGAGAGAGGCACACACTCACAGACACAGAGAGAGGCACACACTCACACACACAGAGAGAGGCACACACTCACAGACAGAGAGAGCGGCACACACTCACAGACACAGAGAGGCACACACTCACGGACACAGAGAGGCACACACTCACAGACACAGAGAGGCACACACTCACAGACACAGAGAGGCACACACTCACAGACACAGAGAGGCACACACTCACAGAGAGCGGCACACACTCACAGACACAGAGAGGCACACACTCACAGACACAGAGAGGCACACACTCACAGACAGAGAGAGGCACACACTCACAGACACAGAGAGGCACACACTCACAGACACAGAGAGGCACACACTCACAGATAGAGAGAGGCACACACTCACAGACACAGAGAGCGGCACACACTCACAGACACAGAGAGGCACACACTCACAGAGAGCGGCACACACTCACACACACAGAGCGGCACACACTCACAGACACAGAGAGAGGCACACACTCACAGACACAGAGAGGCACACACTCACAGACACAGAGAGAGGCACACACTCACAGACACAGAGAGAGGCACACACTCACAGACACAGAGAGTGGCACACACTCACAGACACAGAGAGGCACACACTCACAGACAGAGAGTGGCACACACTCACAGACACAGAGAGTGGCACACACTCACAGACACAGAGAGGCACACACTCACAGACAGAGAGAGGCACACACTCACAGACACAGAGAGGCACACACTCACAGACAGAGAGAGGCACACACTCACAGACAGAGAGAGAGGCACACACTCACAGACAGAGAGAGGCACACACTCACAGACACAGAGAGGCACACACTCACAGACACAGAGAGAGGCACACACTCACAGACAGAGAGAGGCACACATTCACAGACACAGAGAGAGAGGCACACACTCACAGACACAGAGAGAGCGGCACACACTCACAGACACAGAGAGAGGCACACACTCACAGACACAGAGAGCGGCACACACTCACAGACACAGAGAGTGGCACACACTCACAGACAGAGAGAGAGGCACACACTCACAGACACAGAGAGTGGCACACACTCACAGACAGAGAGAGGCACACACTCACAGACAGAGAGAGAGGCACACACTCACAGACAGAGAGAGGCACACACTCACAGACAGAGAGAGGCACACACTCACAGACAGAGAGCGGCACACACTCACAGACAGAGAGAGGCACACACTCACAGACACAGAGAGGCACACACTCACAGACACAGAGAGGCACACACTCACAGACACAGAGAGAGGCACACACTCACAGACACAGAGAGAGGCACACACTCACAGACACAGAGAGAGGCACACACTCACAGACACAGAGAGAGGCACACACTCACACACACAGAGAGCGGCACACACTCAGACAGAGAGAGGCACACACTCACAGACACAGAGAGAGGCACACACTCACAGACACAGAGAGAGGCACACACTCACACACACAGAGAGCGGCACACACTCAGACAGAGAGAGGCACACACTCACAGACACAGAGAGCGGCACACACTCAGACAGAGAGAGGCACACACTCACAGATACAGAGAGCGGCACACACTCACAGACACAGAGAGAGGCACAAACTCACAGACAGATACACACTCAGAGACAGAGAGAGAGATACACACACCCAGAGAGACACACAAACATAGACACAGAGAAACATTCAAAGACACAGAGACACACACAGAGACACACCCCCAGCACTGGCGTGCCAGCCTAGATTATACACTCAGAAACACAGACACAGAGAGACATACATTCTCAGAGAGACGCACACTCACAGACACTCACAAACACAAAGAGAGAGACACATACGCACACCCACAACCAAAGAGAGAGACACATGCATTGACATTCACACAAACAAACACACAGAAAATCACTACAGCAGGGCCTTCGAGTAAAGCCCATTTGCCATTAGATCATTATTTGGGGAGAACAAGTTTGCAGGGCTATGAGGACTGGGGGTGATGGGGGAAGGGGGGAGTGGGATTGATTTGGGTAGCTCTTTTAGAAGAGCCGACACAGATACGATGGGTCGAATTGCCTCCTTCTGTGCTGTATAATTCTATGATTCTATGATTGCTGCTTGCGCCGCACTTGCACTGCAGTAGCCATCCCACCCAGTGACGTCAGGTAAACAGCTGAGGCCCGTGGGCCAGAAACTACATTTATAGTGGGTTTATAGCGGATTCTGCAGGAGAAGTGCAACCACATTTTTCTACTGGCCCTAGTAGAATTACCTCACTCGTAATGTCCCATTCTCTCCCCACGTTTGCTGAAAACTACAGACGCCTATTTCAAATACTTTTTTTGTGTTGATCTTTTATACAGGATTGTGCAAACTGATGCTTACAAAATGCTGTTTGTAAGCATTGGACCGCACAATCCTGTGCAAAACCACATCAGATGGAATACACTTTTATTTTGTGCAGCACGTCAAGCCATTTTATGTGAATAGCGTCATATGATGTAAGATACTGTGAAAATCTTGTGATACTTCCAACATTTAAGAGGAGCGGGACAAGAACCTCACAATGGCTTAGGTTGAAAAAAATGTTGCATTTGATGTTTGTGGGAGACTTCCGTGTGCAATTGTCTGCCGCGTTTCACCAACAAAATAGACAGTCAACTCACTTTGTAGTATGTTCTGTGAAGTGCTTTGACACGTCTCAACAACGTGATAAGTGCTATATCAAATGCAAGAATTATTATTATTATTATAGTACCTCTCACATCAGGAGAACTACTTCGCAGAATATAACAACAAATTACATTTTACAGTGTAGTGACATACTGTGAAATGTCACTAAATTTATTATATACTGTGAAATGTAGCGACTATGTACATTGTAGGGAAACGCGGCAACTGATTTGCACACAGCAACAGCCACAATCCACCAAGTGGTGAATGACCAATTTTACTTGGGGAGGGGGATTGTTGGCCATGTCACCAGGAAAAACTCCTTTCTCTTTTAAGAATAGTGCCAAGTGATCTTTATAATGTTCACCTGAAAAGGCAGACAAGACCTTGGCTGAATCGCAGTCTCATTTGAAGGATAGCGCCTCCAAAAATTCAGCACATCCCCAGCACTAGAGTGCCAGCCGAGACGAGTTCAAAGTACCCAGGTCAGATTTGAACACACGACACTTTGACTCAGAGGAAAGAGTCAAACTGACAGATAAACTGAGCTAGACCAATGCACACATTCTAGAAGTGGTTTGGGAGCTAGTGAGTTCTCTAAGCCTCGGCTGGGACAGGGGCAATTGGTCTCATTCAATGTTCCTGACCTAAGGCAGGAAACAATCCATCCAGAATTTCCTAACCACTATCCAGACCAAGAGGACATAATGCTGGATTTACTGCTCTGAGGAGATGTATGACCTTCACTAACCAAGATGAAACAAGAACAATTTGTTATTATACCCCCTGCCCCCACCCCCAATGAAACACGTTACGGGGGGGGGAGGGGTCAAAACAGACTGTGCAGTCTTTAAATGAGCTAAGTGGAAATATAGTGCAGGACTATAGGGTTGTACACAATGTAGCTGTGGAATTCCTGAACAAATATTTACTTTCCTTCCTGCTGAATATAGAATAGAGACCAAGGGCAACACCCACTACAAAATGATTATTCAATTTAGGCTTTCCCTTTTACTAAGACACTGAGTGAAATTTGGAATCACAATGTCTCAGAAGCCATCAAGCATAATATGCTAAATGGGTATCAAGGAACACTGGGCACCATTTATTTTGTAATTAAAGGAGTACAACACTGACATTTCACTTAGCAGGGTGATATGGTTGACCTTCATTGCAAATTAGAAAAGTTATGGTGGGAGTTCTGGCGTTTTAAGAAGCGAATGAATATTTTAGACAAGTCTTGAAAAGAAAGGACATTGTAAGTAAACGTGTGTCTGTGGCGTGAGACAAGAACCACAAATTAATACTTTGAGAAGTTTGTTCAATATTAAGATTTATACAAAATAATTGCCATTTTTGAAGAGCCTTCATGACTGCAATTTTTAGAACAATCCCTTATATTACAAAATATAAAAATGTTATTACAGGACTGATGCGGAAACAATAGATCAAATACACACTCATTTTTAGTACCTCAAACTGTTCACTTTGAAACGTTAATTTGTAAAATTGATTCTCAAAAGTAAAAAGCCATTTCTGCAACTCACAATTCTGAGGCCTGAAATTCCACCCATTCTTTACCTCTGAAAATTTAAATCGAGTAAAGTTGTGAACAATACCACCTTTGTTTGGAAGCTGGTACCTTTTCACAACTGTGGAAAACTGGCTTCTAAATTAAGTCTATATTTAAGAATTGTTCACAAATCTGTGATGGCTTAAAATTTTAATAATACTTGAAATTGATATTACGTTGTTGAGACATCCCAAAGCGCTTCACAGAATGTACTGTAAAGTGAGTGGATTGTATATTTTGTGGGCGAATCACCACAGCCAATTGCGCACAGCAATGTCCCACAAACAGTCGTGGACTGAGTGACCACAGACAAAATGGTGTCACAAACAGGGCAAGAGCAGGTGAAATTTCAGGCAGAGAAGTCTGGCAGAGAGGCAAAAGATTTCCTCTTAAAGGTAAACAATTGACTTATACTTATTCATGAATAAGGGAATAAAAAAAATCCAGCATCTTCATTTACAGTACTAAAAAGTTAGACCAACAAACAACAAAATATTAATTTTCTTTACTTGCTAAACTGGTAACCACCCAACCAGTTTAACACTGAATGTGCATCGAAAAAGAAAAAAAAGGGTCCCACGAATTTGAATGCCTTGTTCTATCAGCACTTAACAAAATGCTGCTGGTCATAAGACTAGACTCATCAAGCTTCAACCCCAGAGTCAACATCCTGTTTGAATTTCATGGTTTTTTTTTCTTTATTACTTGAGTAAAATTACATTTAATAATTTAAATTGGAACAAAACATTGAAAACCAATTCATTCTAATGAAATCTTGAGGGGGGTTGGGGGGTGAAAATCATACTGAAATCTTCTGGATGTCCTTTGAAAGATGATTGCAACCAGCACATTTTAAGTAAAGACTTTTCACCTTTCAGAACGCTTAAAACTTTCAGGGAAGATTTTCTGTAAACCTTGAAATGAGATAAGTTGAAAGACAGTTTATAGAGAAGCACGCAAAATTTCAGATGTAAGCTTGGAATAAATTTTAAAAATTATATCGAGTTCAAGACAGATTAAAAATGTGCCCTGCATTATTTTTCTCCATCTCAAACAAACTGCTTAGACTTTTTCGGAGCAGCTTTGGATGCCAGATCCTTTGCCTTCTCGGTTGCTGCAATCGCAGTTTCTTTTGCTTTCCCTGTAGCCTCTTTTGCCGTTTCAATTAAAGTCCTCGAAGGCAGATCCCCTGAGTTGTTTAAAAAAATAATTTACTCACCGAAACATTTGTATTGTCAATAACACACACAATAATAACTAAAGTACATTTCATTTTGCCAAGTATATACATTTTCCTGGACATGAAGAAACACCTCAAAAAATCTTAGAATTACTCAAAATTAACAATCTAGGAAATAATATCTCAGGATACAACATATAGTTTGGGACACAAAATGTCAAGCGACTGCCAGGATGGTGGAAGGCAAACTGGATGGATCTTGGTCTTCTTTCATCTAGCAAATTCTTATGTTCTAATCTCAGGCAAACCCAAACCTCTATCGTCATGAGTTGAAGCAAATTGTTTGAAGCGTATTCCTGTGGGTACCTGGCTGATCAGCAAATGAGATAATGCACTGCCTTTTAACCCGTAAAATGTCATCTAACGACTACCCAAGCAAATTAAAACAAGATGCACATTTGAAGCTTTTAAATTGATTGTAGAGAAATAAACCTGTGGATACAATATCTATTGTAAGTAAACTATTGTTTACTCCTGTAACTCACAGCCAGCCCAAGCTATTACCTGGCTGGTAATAAACCCATCTTAAAACAGATGGTTCCTGGATAGAATAAATGTTCTTGCCTTGGAAAACTCAAGAGTACAGTGACTCTTCACTGTTATTGGGGCAGCCAAGTTCAGGTGTGATCTCTCATTGCTCTAACGTACATTGAAGAGAGGTAAATCATTTACTATTTTTCTCCTCCCCCCCCCCCCCACTCCCCCACTCCCATCTAGGCGAGTGCATTGATCATTACGTCTTTCCCCTTTGAGACTTCAAGATAAAGACATAGTTTCCACATATTGCATTCACACCTTATACATCGTCCTTCAACTACTTTTCTAAAAACAATATACAGATTATATTGCAAATTGCAGACTCCAGTGACATGGGTTTCTGACCTGTTCCCTGAGCCTCTCCAACCATGAAAACCACAAGTGACAATATTTTGCATTTTTTGCTTGGTTACCATTGGGCATTTGAGAGCACCTATGCAGCACTTTAGAACATATGTCAATAGAGAAGGCTTGCATATTTTGAGGAACGAGTGGGCACGATGGGCTAATGCTCCTTCTGTGCGATCTTATAAGATCTTGCCGTATGGGAGAAACTCCCTTCTCTTTATGAATAGTGTAATAGGATCTTTAATATTCATCTAAACTGGCAAATAAAACTAAGCAAATAAAACTAAGACTAAGCAATGCTCGCTCAGCACTGCACTTGTGTAATCAGCCTAGATTGAGCTCAAGTGCCTACGTGGGGCATGAAACCAAAATCTTCTGAGCCTGAGGCAAGAGTGTTACCAATAGAACATCCAATTCAAGCTACCGGTGAAAACTGTCAAATTTCACGTAGGTTTTAAACTCCTTAAAACAGATAGTGTAAATTATCAAATGACATAAAGGTGAATGAATAACAACACAATTAGGGCTACATGATTTATTGTAGTTTACCAGAATACCACTCAATGATTGAGCCATAGAATTTTCATTACCCAGAAGTATTTTGCAATGTCATTTTTGCAAGATATGCAACTTGCCCCTGCAGGTTACTGCTGCTTCCCCAAACAAATTTGGAGATGTTTCCCAGGATACAATAGCATACTATGTAATGCTTAAGGGTTTGTAACTGTGCAAGCTGGGTTGTAAACATGCAGGGAGAGAATCCCTATAATGTACCTTTTCCAAATGCGTTTATACTTAATGCAATGAATAGGTACAGTCCTTCGCTAAATTAAATGGTGGGCAAAAAAATTATTTAGGATTTAAAAGTATCATAAAATACTGTTGTTCCACACACAGTATTTCACATCACACAATTACACTAAGTAATGCAGATCACCACTTTATTTAACTGCATCAAATTTCAGAACCATAAAGACTAGTACTAAATAGCCAAACAGCAACGTTTATATAGTCCTTCACATAGAATAGTACATCAGAATGCTGGTGTGTAGCTTTGGTGCACAGAAGGGCATAAACTTTAATCATTTTGATCACAAAGTGTGCCTATCTTACATGTTGACTACCTTTTGAGCCTCTATTGTACTCCAGTCTATAAAATGGGTCATTGCAAAACAGTCATCTTTCTTCCATTTGACAATGTACACCTCACAAGAACAATCACTACAAATGACAGTAATTATTGTAAAGCATGTTTAAGGAGCTGATATTATGGGCCTTACAAAAACCCAAGTTTTTTCAGCATGCAGTCAATTAACAAAACGTTAATTTTGTGCTCTCAGGGTCAAAAGCAATGGAACGTTCAATTCTGGTCAATACCGTTTGAAAAATCCTATCCATTTGGCACCCATGTGTGGCACTGCATCAGGGCCACAATGTTTATGATCCCAGGGTCAGTGAGGTCCTGCCTTGCTTTACACTGACCACTGCAATAACATTGGTGAACCATGATGGAGATGATCTGCCCCTCCATCAGGTAAAGGAAGTTTAAGTTTGCTATTCTCAGCATAATCAGACAAAATAATAATAATAATCCTTGCATTTGATATAGCACTATAACCTTGTTGAGACGTCTCAAAGCGCGTCCCAAAATATATTGTAAAGTGGATTGACCTTGTTTTGTGGACGAAATAAGTAAAGCGTTCTGGGATGCTACCCTGTGTGAAGGGCATTATATAAATGCAAGTTGTTGTTGTAGTAAAGAAAATCAGACTCAGCACAATTGAATATTTTGTACTCAACTCCTCTCCCATTAATATTATTTTAAAAAGATGGATAGGGAGAAATTTTAGATTTACTCTATTTATGTAACATTTTAAAGCATCCACTTGGTAAATTGCTGAATTTAGTCTCAACCTGGAAGTTTATTTTCTGCTGTTATCAAAAGAACATCAGATCCAGGTGGAATTTCTCTCTGAGAATTGTGCAATTTTATGCTTCTCACCAAAGGCACATTTCCCAAAGTTTATACTAATTGAAACAGAAACAGAGAGAGCTGGGAACACTCAGCAGGTCAGGCAACATTTATGGAGAAAGGAAAGTGAGTCAACGTTTCAGGTCCAAAACGTTGAATTCACTTTCCTTTCTCCATAGATGCTGCCTGACCTGCTGAGTGTTCCCAGCTCTCTCTGTTTTTGTTTCAGATTTCCAGCATCTGCAGTATTTCATGTTTTGTTTATATTAATTGAGTTGCTGTACTAGATTATGCTAGTCATCTTCCCCACCGGAGCTCACTACAAGTATTGCACCCTAGGAGTGTAGCCCACCCATGGGAGTGTGGCCGATCAGTTTACAATGGGCAATAACTCTCGACTCTTGTCTGCACTTCCAGCTATAAAAAGACTGCAGTGAACCTTGGAATCTGGAAAGCTATTCCCCTCATGATTTGACTGACCTACTTCATTCATTGCTCCTTCACCCCTAGAGGGTTATGCAGTTTCACTGCTCAAAATTTCTGCTTTCTGGCTGCTCATTTTTTAATATTCTTTCTAAAGTATGGGGTCTTGACAAGCATACCATGCAGGAAACATGGGGGGGGGGGGGGGGAAACAGACATTACATTCATTATTGCTCAGGCAGGCGACCGAAAGGATATGATAAAGAGAGGTTAAATAATCTACATACCTTGTAAATTAGTAATAACATATTCAAGTCCTTGTGTTGCTTTTATCTGATTTCTTCTAAACCGGGCTAGCCCAAATTCCTGAGGAAAAAATGATTTGAGTTTTCAAATATGCATTGAACTGGGGTAATAAATTGATAGGTCATCATTTAACTACAGTAATCAGTGGAATCTTTTCATTGAACTGAGTAATACAGACAGTAGCCTGGCAGACTACCCTGTGCTCACTTTCCAGTGCTGAATCTTTATAAACAATATTTATAAACAAATGCTGTTTGTATTTTGGTTTGCTATCATATAGAAGGAGTCCTGCCGTGTGAACGTTAAATTTGCATATGATTAACAGTTCTGGAGGTTTACTCAAAGCTAATCTTCTGCCATTTTATTTGGATCTTCTTTCATAAAACCCATAATCCCACAGTACCACATAATGCATTTTAAACTGCATTCTTCTCTCAGATCTCTCTAAAAACCTCAAACTTTTTGCAGACAATTTTTTCAGATTTATTTCCATCAATTTAGAATTTTTTTCAAAATTCCAGTGGTGCTAGGGAATCATTTGATCACCGTTAGTCATACCTACTATTGGTATTGTCTGCCCAAATGTACAATCATAGCACTAAGCACTTATTAGACAGCACTGTAGAATACAGAGACAAATTAATTGCAACATAGGTGACTGAATAATAATATATTAAATATAATAATAAGCAGGTTAAGTAGCATATATGGAGAAAGGAAAGTGAGTCAATGTTTCGAGTCCACAACCCTTCGTCAGAACTGGGGCATGTTGGGAGGAAGAGGCTTTTAAGGACTAAGAACTAACAGAGATGGGGGGGGAGGCAGGGCAAGGAAGACAAAGGAGAAAATGGGGTAGAGAACAGGGGATGATGGGTTAAAGAGGGGTTAATGATGCAAAAGAAAGTGGGGGGATTGCAATAAAACAGGTAGACCAGAGAGAGGAAACAAAAGTTCTGACTCTTTCCTTTCCATAGATGCTACCTGACCTGCTGAGTATTCCCAGCCACTTCTGTTTTCGTTTCAGATTTCCAGCATCTGCAGTATTTTGTGTTTTGACTATAATAATGATCCTTGCATTTCATATAGTGCATTATCACTTTGTTGAGACACTTCAAAGCACTTCACAGAATATATTGTAAAGTGACTGTATTTTGTAGGCAAAACAAAGCAGCCAATTGCACATAGCAATGTCCTACAAAAAATTGCAGATTGAGTGATGAAATATGTTAATTTTTGAGGAGGGATTATTACCCCTGGCAATCGACTAACATCCGGGATCCTAATTACTGCTAGGTAAGCAGAGGCATGTGGAGTAAGGAAACTTGCCTTAGGCTTTGCCCTGCCTGGGAATCAAACCTGCGTCCTCTTGTTTGCGAAACGATCGTGCTAATCACTATGCTACAGGACTCCACAAATGATTAGTTGCATTCATAGAAACTATGTATGTCCTTAATGATCAAAGAAATTACGCCACAAAAGGAGGCAGAGACATTAAATCTATGCTGAATGCTTTAGCACCTTTACTTAGTTTTATACTCTAATTCAATGCCCTGCTACTTAGCAATAATCTTGTTTATCCTTTCTCTTCAAATAGCTTGATAATTAATTTCACTGCAAATAATTAATAGAAGTGAAATAAATGCAACTTCCCAACACAGGAATCAAACTTAGGGCCTTAAGATCTTCAATCCAAGATATCATGGTATGTGATCATGGCATCATATGTTGATGTTCTCGAAGTATGAAGAGAGACATTTGCAAGCAATCTTAACTGCTTTGAAAGGATCTAAAGTTTACTTTGTAAATCTGACCAGTTATCTCTTGAACCAAGTTATCACACATCAATTTTGTGTTTACTAACATATTGTACATTATCAGAACCTCATTTGAAAAGATATGGTTCAACCTAGGTTTTTGAACTAATATTCTTGTCTGCAAAATAGCTGTAATGGAAACTACGCAGGGAAAGCTACATTTTCCACCAATCTCTTACTACAACAATGTTTACTAGGCAATGTAATTCGGTGTTACCTGAATTGCTCGTGAAAAGCCAAATACGTTTGATGTGATCCATGCCTCTCGCTGCACTTGGGTCCACGTTTGATTGTCTTGATTTATACTATATACACATTTCTCTTCTACAATCTGAAATTAGTGAACAGTATCTTAAAACAAATCCATCTCAAAGCGCTTCACAGAATATACTGTAAATAATAATAACAATAATCCTTGCATTTGATATAGCGCTTTTCACGTCGGGAGGACGTCCCAAAGCACTTCACAGAACACACTGTAAAGTGAATTGACTGTATATTTGTGGGCGAACGCGGCAGCCAATTGCGCACAGCAATGTCCCACAAACAGTCGTGGATTGAAAATGACCAATTTATTATTGTTTTTGTTTTTTTGGAGGGATTATTATTAGGCTCTGTGTGGAGTAAGGACACTTGCCCAAGGTTTCGCCCTCTGTCTGGAATTGAACTCAGGTCTCTCACTTGCAAAGCGAGTGCTCTAACCACTGAGCTACAGGACTCCTGAAGTGTGTAAAGTGTTTTAACTGTGTTTTGTGGGTGTAACACGAACAGCCATGGAGCGAGTGACCAATTTTATTTGGGGGTTTGTTGGCCAGGACACCAGGAGAAACTTTTTATTCTGTGCTCACTGGATAGGGGGAATGGTGCAGATACATTTGAATCCTATAACTCTTCTAATACTAACGAGTGACATCAGCAACAACCTGACAACCAGAAACTCTGACCGGAAATTATATTTATAACACAGGAGTCTGATTTTATGCACCCAAACCACTGAATTACAACCGACTAATGTACTTAATGCAGCACACAGGCAGGTTGATCAAGGCCTTCTGAATCTTTTCGGATGTAAACCCTAGACTGTCCAGTGCCTTGGGACTGCCTACCAATGTGCAAGGCATATATACAATATATATTATATATAATATGTATAACATATATGCAATTTATTTTTTTTAAAAAAGTTAGAAATGTTTTGGCTTATCGAAGTTGTCTAGTCCCAGTGATCTCTCCGCAAAGTGGCACCGCATTGGGTTACTCCTGAAATTTTCACCATGGTGATTTCGAAAACTATTGTGCATGAAGAAAGCTCACTTTGTGGTTACAGAAAATATCAGCAAAAATTGCTCAACTCCACACACTCTGGGAGCACTGCTGAAAATAACCAGTAGCATATAAATGCAAGACATTGTAATAAGTCATTGTAGAGAAAGAAAAATATTCCTATGGAATTTTACAAATGTGGTTCTATAAAATACATTTCAGAATAAAAATATTATAATAAACATTCAATGAGTTAATAAATACTGTATTTGCATTTTTACAGTATCTTTGATGTAGAAATCCTAAAACGCTTCATAGACACTCCTAGTTTCCTTGGTGGGGGAGGTGAGGGGGAGAAGGGAGAGGTAAGCGGGGTCTCCTTGGAGCTGAACAGGCTCCAAGGCGACATACTTGGCAACAGAATGTCAGAATCGAGCCAGCCCTCTGTGGCGGTCTCGGTAGTCCGGTTCCTGATCCCAGGCAGGTTCACATTATTCCAGGGCACTGATGATGACAGCACAGTCAGCCTGGCTCATCGGTAGGACCTGGAAGGGCAGACCAGTCACTGGGGGCAGGGAGTCATCCCACTCAGCTCCTGTTAATCACACAGGCCAAAGCCCTAATGGGTAGGGTGGTCCTAGCTGGACAAGCAGCGGGAAAGTTTGTAGACAGAGCCTTTTGGATACCACACTGAAAAAAAATGATCTCATTCAATGAATAGAGAGTATCCTTTGTAGGAAAAGGCAGAGCTTACCATAAGACGAGTGTGGTTCACATTCCATGTTAAAGTGGCAAATGTTTTATCTTGAAGATCGACGACAGAATCCTCAATCACAAAGACCGAGCGTGCCAGGTTAGATGGGAAGATCATCTCTGCCCAGCGAGGCAGGCGGTTAGTCTTTGTGAAAAGACGTCTAGATATCAGTTTACCATCAGATGTCACTTCACGGTAAACAACATCTTCGGTTAATACGTGTTTACTGAAAACGAGAAGAGCGAATTTAAGAGCCAAGCTCACTTCCCGAAAAAGAACATTTCCAATTACACAGAACATATTTAAATATTGCTCTATCAGTGGCTGAAAAAAGCAGATTGAGAATAAAAATGGGTTTAGTATGATTCTACAAAAGGAAACCTTTATCCTCACAAAATTAAAACAAATTCAGAGTAAAATGAAGAAAAGACGATAACAGCTTCCAAGACAAGTTCAAACAGAAGTTAGTGAAACAGGCAGAGGAGTAACAAACAATATACAACTCCAGCAGCGTCAGCTATTCCATCAAACATGCCTTCTCAAACAGTGCCTGCCATGAGCCACCACAATAATAATCCTTGCAATTGATGTAGCGCCTTATCACATCGTTAAGACGTCTCAAAGAACTTCATAGAATATACTGTAAAATGGATTGACTGTGTATTTTGTGGGCAGTGTCCCACAAATAGTCATGGATCGAGTGACCAATTTTTAATTTTGGGGAAGGGGAGGGATAATTGCCCCAGAAAGTGAGCTTCCAGCAGAATGGACACCACCAGTTTCTGTCTTCTGCAGACCTCTCAGCTACTGTTCCTTAAATAATTCAAAAAAATATTAAAAGTAACTAATGATAAAATCCCCAGAAATTATATGGAAAAATAGTATGTAATCACTAAAGTACAGATTAAACCACATTTGCTAAAGTACGGTGTTACACAGCATTATTCCCTTCCAATTAGAGCAACGTGGAGTTCACATATCATTTTTAGTCCAAAAATGGACACAGTTCAAATAGGTGGTAAAAGGGAACAAAGCCCTTATACATGGTTTAAAGTACCATCACGAGATTTCAGTGTCTATTGAAGTCAAATCATTACTGGCACAGCCCAGTTAGTTCTCCTTGATTTACCCATCTTGAAAGCACGGAAAGGGTCTTGTTACGTTTTGCACCCTCGCCCGACTCCACTGGCTCCCCATCCCCCAGGGGATCGAGTTCAAGATCCTCGTCCTCACCTTTAAGGCCATCCATGGCCTTGCCCCCTCCTATCACTCTGACCTGCTGACTCCCTACCAACCTGCCCGCTCCCTCCGTTCAGTGGGCTCTGGCCTGCTCCATGTCTCCCGCCCGACCCATCCTACCATCGGTGGCCGGGCTTTTAGCCTCTCTGCCCCCACACTCTGGAACTCCACCCCACGGACCCTTCGCCTCGCTTCCTCTCTTGCCTCCTTCAAGGTCGGTCTCAAGACCCTTCTCTTTGACCGTGGCTTTGGTCGCCCTCCCACCTCTCTGCCTTCCCTCACCCCTACAATACCCCTCCCCCATGCTCGGGCCCCGACACCTGACTGTTCAGCACTTTGGGATGTCCTCCCGACGTGAAAGTGCGGTCAAACGCTCAACTATGTCCAAATAAGTGGTAAACTCACCAAAACAGTTGAAGAAAAACAGCAGAATTTCAAAATGTAAATACTTCACTGTGGGTGCAAATATTTTTTTAAATAAGACAATGGTCACGCAATGCTGCCAAAGCACAGACTCACCTGAAAGGGTTTGGATATCTTTGCCAAAATGCAATCACTACCTGGTCCCATGAGCTCTTGAGAGTGGACAGATCAAAGAAATACTTTACCATAGCTCCCACCTCAGCCTTTCAGGCTATTGATTCAGGAATGAATTACAATATCACCTAGAAAATGAATGAACAAAATAAGCATACAATCAAATAATACATAAGGTTGTCTGTTCACTGTGAAGAGGTCCACAGTCCATATTCACTGATATACGCAATACATTTAACACTCCCTAGAGAAAAATAAAACATTTCTGCCCTTGTCTAGTTAATCTTATACCATATTCAGACAAGGATCACTTCTTGTTGTTGGGAGNAAAAAAGCCTCTAATAATCTCTACAATAGACAAAAGGTGTTTTCAGTGACTTCTGTTTTTATGTCAGATTTCCAGTATCTGCAACACTTTGCCTTCTTTTTATATAATCTGTTGTGTCGCTGGGTAACTCCCTACCCTGGTGGCACACCAGCAATTAGGAACTTGCACCAATCAATCTGTGCACCACTCGATATATGACTTCTATTCTATAATGAAGTTACATGCAGTCAGCCTTGCGAATTACCCAAGATGTGCGTTTATTAGACCCGATGGACAAATGTGCTGTACAGCATTTTGGGGAACTTTCTTTTGCTATGAGTGCAGATTTAGAGATATCAGGTGCCCACACACTCAGGACAAGATCACAAGATTGGGTTGGACGAAGAAGACCCTTCTGCCCATTTGATCTAATCGAAAGCAGGGTTAAAGAGGAGGGTCTTGAGACGGGCTTTGAAGGAGATAAGGGAAGGGGTGAGGCAGGGGGCTCTGGCATGGAGTTTCAGAGGATGGTGCCAGAAAGGTTGAAGGCCTGACCGCCGATCATGGAGCAGGTGGGGTGGGGAGCTGAGGGCAGGTTGGTAACATTAATTAATGTGCAAGTCACTAAATTGCATTCATTAAATCAAACTGTAGCAACATTGTGGTGCTCATATGTGGGGAAAAAAAAGTTACACAATATTGAGCCGCTATTGATATACTTTTCTGCTGCAGTTGAACAGCCATGAGCAAAAAGAGCCTCCATTTCTGGCAGTATACTTCGACGCAGCATCTGGAGGGCTGGTAACGGTGCCCACTCCACATCATTCAAATCAGACCAGGAAAAAAAAAGCTCTATTCTGGCATTCTGTGCATGGACAAACAGATGCCAGTGGTTTATATAATAAACTATTAAAGAGCCGGCCGGCCACACCATCAATTTTTAAATGTTGCTCTATTCAAAGTTCAGAGTTGAGTGTTTTTTGGGGGTAGAGATTAAGGGAGAGAAGAGCCCAGTATTCTTACCCCCCTCCTCTGGTATTAACACTATAATATTTGTGAGCCATCTCCTCCACAGTTGGTCAGCAATGGGGCCTCAGTGAGGCTCAGATTACACAAGACATTTGGTGTCGATCTTCAGTGTGGAAGTACAGTATTAATGTAGCATTAGTTCATCCCCTCAAATCATGCCTACTTACACTACCAACATCAGTACTTCACCCGAGCTAAAAAGCTCTCTCCAGACACATTTGCAAAGGTCAACATTTATAACTGCACTGCTGGATTTTTCAAAGTTCAAAGAAGAATATGAAAAGAGTATGGGGGGGGGGGGGGGAGAAGAGGGGAGGGAGTGAGCAGGAGAGTGGGATTAGACTAGATGGCTCATGTGGAGAAAAGAACACCAGTGCAGATTTAATGGGTCTGTTTCTGTATTGTAACATTAGTAAATTCAATTGGTTTTATTACAAATGATAAATTAAGTCTCTTGTTTAATGAGTGAATTGAGAGCTGGTAGAAACAAAAACAGCATTTGTAAAATGCTATCATTCATGCAAGATTTCCTGACATACAGGTTTTTACTCTGACCTTTCTAATTCAGGCCACGAGTTAGAAGTGGACAAGTTAGAAGTGGACAAATTCAAAGCAGCTAGCTAGGTATGCGTTGGGCAAAGCAAAGCTATTCATTTCACCCAGTTTTAGGCTAAATTCTTGACAAAGATTCAAAGCAGCAACTCCCTCTGAAAACTGGAGTCATGGAAAAGGAAGGCTTCAAAGAGGTTACAGTTGCTGAACAGGAATTCCGGACTTGCTCCACAACAGCATCAGCAATAAAAAGCTTTTTGAAGGGAGTTGGCAGGCAAGTCACAGTAACTCTGCACAGAGAATGCAGACCCAGCTGTACCATGCAAACAACAAAAGAGAAAAGGGCAGATTCCTGATTCGGGGCTTGGCAACAAGACAGGAATGAGATGAAAATAGTGTAAGTGGGTGTAATACAATGGACAAGCTATACTGAATAAATGGGCTTTTCACAGGTGCATGCCATGGACTGGCACACTGTACCTTCCCGCATAAATAGCTCAAGCCCAGATTTTCTCTGCTGGTTATGAAGATCCTATATTATTATTATTATTATTATTTAATGAGTTTGGGGCTGAGACCACTGCATAAAATGGTCTGTCCACAAATGGGAACTTTCTCGGGACAGTTAGGGTAGGAATTGGGAAAATGTAGTGCAAACCAGTTATGAAATTCAAGTTAATCAACATATTGCAGCAGACTATATAGAGCTAATTGCCATTTCCAACCTCAACTATACTGGATGCTCCCAAAACTTGATGCGAAATGTGCAAAATGCTTCCTTTTTTTTAAACCAATATCTTTTCCCTCAATAAGGGCAAATATTCTACCAAAATATGATTACAACCCCACAAATTTTAAAACCAATACATCAACAGATTTTGCCTCCAAATTATCTCTCTCATCTGTGTACTGGAGCACTTTTATTATTTTACTCAGCTGGACCTGCTTGGGCTAACAACCATTTCCCTTTCTTAGCCACAAAAGGGACTAGCATATTGTTTGGTGTTAAAGCTCAGGAAATGATTCTGCATAGTAACTCACAGATTGACGTCATCTCAAAATATAAATAGAAAATATTTCATTAACAGCAGCCTATCAAGTCATTTCTGGGAAAACTTCACCAAATGAAATAACACTCGCCTTGAAGGTTTTTTGTGAAGCTGGTTCATACCCTGTGGTTATTTGACACAAATCTTGTGTGACAGACACATTTATTAAACTAGTTTGGTTTAATAAACCAAATTGATTTTAAATGTAATCTAGATTTTCATTAAATCCATTGTGATCTAAATAACACATATTATATTTCTATGAATGTGTTCTTTCTTCCTTTTGATTCTCTTTCCCTCATCTACATTTTGTTTTTGAGGAGCAAAATGGCCTATTTTCTGCACTCAATGTCATCATCCAGCACTCCCAGAACTTAAAGCTGACAGGAACACACACTGATCGCACCGTATGACATCCCATTTCCAACAACACCACTAACCCCATTTCCAACAACACCACTAAACAACTTGGCACTTGTAAAGTGCCTTAAACATAAAATATCTCAAAAGATTTTATGACAGAATTGATATGAAATGGGAGTGAATTTTTAAAATATATACAGGCAACGTCAAAGACGGGTTTTAAAGAGTTTTAAAGTCAGGGGTGGAAGGCACAGGGTGAAGGGGCAGGTTGAGCTTATGAAGGGTGAACAAGAGAGTCCAAAGAGGAGTGCTGGAGAAATCTAGTATTCAGGAAAGCATGGGTGCAAGTTCTCGCTGAGGAGAGGGTGAGGTAGGGACATGAAGAGGCATAAGAACATAAGAATTTGCTAGGCAGAAGAACACCAAGGTCCATCCAGTTCGCCTTCCACCATCCTGGCAATCACATGACACGTGTCCTAAACTATACACTGTATCCTGAGATATTATTTCCTAACAGGAATCTATCTAATTTGCTCTGGAGAGAAATCACCACTTTCTGCGTCCACAGTCTGCCTGGGTAGCCTGTTCTATACTCACTTACTGAAGTAGTGTTTCCGCAGATTTGTTCTGAATTTACCCTCCTTCAATTGCAGGCTGTGTCCTCTGGTTCTACTTTCATTACAAGATAAAACAGCTTATCATGATCTACGTTATCTATTCCCTTTAGAATCTTAAAGACTGTAATCATATGGCCCCTCAACCTGATCATATCACCACTCAACCTTTCATCTCCAGAACCTTCCAAGCAAAGTTCTGAAGACGGAGGACTACTCGCAACAGAGTGGAGAGTTTGTGAACCTGTTTCACATAAGACCATTAAAGGCAGCAGACAAAATAGCCTTTCATGTAATCTGTTTACGGTGGATTTTCACTGAGGTCCCACACTTGACAGATTAGTGTATTAACCGACCATTACCATGTATTCTTTATTATTTATTATTTTAACCTTTCATCCCTTAATGGATAGGATGCTCTTTAGACCCTTCTTTTATGTAACATAGGTAACAAGCACCACCATTTCAACTTGTACTAAAAGATAATTTTCCCATCTGTATGTGGTACATATAATTTATTAGATTGCTATAAAATCTACAGTTTTATACACAATTTTGTGACAAGCAAGTCTGGTGATGTACCTTACAATTGTGCTTTTGCTGGTTGATATAACAGTAGTAGTACAACCAATACATCAGATTTTACTTATTGTACTTGCTTTTGATATTATGTAGCTTAAGAATTTTGAACTAACCCATTGTATAGTAATTTGTTTAGTAGATATAACTCCTTGAAAATATAGCTAAATATAAACTACACATTATTTACAAAAATGAAAGCACTGTAAGGAGCAAGTTACAGCACAATGTTCATTTACTGAATGCATTGGTTAACTAGCAAATTAGCCAACAACCTTGCATAGTTAACATGCTCTTTCTAATTATTAAATGCAATTTAATGCATGTGGGAGTGAACTCAAAAGAATAAGGAAATTCACCACAGACTGGAAGTGATCCTGAAAAAAATTCTTAGTAAATATAATTTCCCCCCACCCCCCAAACAAATTGTTCAATAGTCACATAGATAGTGGAGTCCTGGAGTATATTAGAGAAAAGTGATCTGCCAATCGACTAACAACTGGGTTCCTATTTACTGGCAAGTAAACAGAGGCACTTGGAGTAAGGAAACTTACCTAAGGCTTTTGGCCTACTCAGGAATGGAACCCGGTTCCTCTTGTTTGCGAGGCTAACCAATACGGGGAACAGGCCTCTAC